AGCCCGATGCGGGACTCGATCCCGGGACTCCAGGATCATGACCTGAGCCGAAGGCAGTCGCTTAACCAACTGAGCCACCCAGGCGCCCTCTATCCAATATTCTGACCTTAAGAGAAGCTAAAAAGAGAATTATAAAATATACAGCATCCAATTTGTTTTCCTTATCCAGAAGAAAACTGTAACATTTGTCGACAAACAGCACAATTCCAGTAAAAGCACTTCCTACCAACAAGGGATGCTGTCATTTTTATAAGAGGCACTCAAGGCTTGAGACATCCTCGTTAACGCCAATCCTTAGAAGTTGCAGCCACCCAGTAATGGTAGCTTATTAAGGCCCACATGCATTATTTAGATTAACCCAACCCAGCTCTTGATAGTGTGGTGGGTCCTGGGTTGCCCTGCAGTTGGGAGCGGAGAGGTAGGAGCGAGGGAAATTCATAAAGATACTGAACTGCTTCAAATCCCGAGTTACTCAACTCTACACAAAAACGCCTGGGAATAGTTTGAGACATACCAGACTTACCAGAACTCTTCCAACGAGGCTTTTAGAGAAATACCACACGGGTGGTCATTTCCATCTCAGGCCCCAGAGTACAGGCCTCAGGATTCTGGAAGCATAGAGGATGCTCACAAATGCAGTTCGGCCAACAGTGATGTAATCGGTGTGCAAAAGTAACACAACTAATAATGTGAGCGCCCCCTTCTGAGCAGTCACTGCTCTGGGCGTGGTGCTGTAGGTCACTAGTGCCCGGGACAGGGTTGGTTAACGGGGAGCCTGGATTTAAACCCAGGCTGTTCCACTCCACAGCCGGTACTCGGAACTGCCACCCACAAGGGAATACCCCAGAACCCAGCACCCAACTACCTGTGTCAAATGCATGTCTGCAGCAAGCACAGATTATAGAACACTAAAAGTTCTTCAGAGGGATATAAAAAAGTGTCCTTGATTACTTTAAGGCCTTAAAGATGAGTCACGGTTGATGGGATTAGTGTCTCTAACTTCCTTCGATGATTAAAACCATGATCAACTTAGCAACTATACTACTGGATATTCTGAATTTAAGAAAGGACACGAGAGACAGATCCTCTTATTTTGAATCAATATGCCATCAGATTAAAATCAAATCATTACTGAACTCCTTGCTGAGACACAATAATGACTGGATACTAGAATGTACGCCAGAGACGTGTGAAAGCTACACAGCGAGATAAAACACTCCGAGGGCAAGGTTTATACACTAAAAACAACCCAGAAAATGTTACATACCTGAAGAAGACCAAGTAGAGAAAAATTAATAAAGAGGGTCCTCTTTATTACATATTTATAAAATATAATATAGTCATTAAAAATGGAGACAAAACTTTTTATTTTTGGTATCTTGTGTTTTGCAGCCAATTTTCAATCATTGTCACCCTGTTCGTGACTTGCTTTCTGCCGTAGCCTCTACCCCACCCGTCATTCAAAGCACAACAGAGTAAACGCTCCAACAGGTTCTGTGAGAGACTTCCTATCAAATAAATTAATCCAATAACTCACGAATGAAACTGAGAGTTTTCAAAGAAATACAATAAAAACAAAACTATATGAAGCATAATTTAATCTTTCAGATGGTTCACAGAAGGCACCTCAAGATCATACTGCGCCATTCTCCTCATGCGGTGTGTTTAAGTGCCTGTAACAGAATTCTGGTTAGTGAAATTTTGGACAAAAAAAAAGTTTCATATGTAGGGCACATAGCATCGAATGACTACGGATACAATATGGAGATTCTGATGTGTATATCTGTACTAACTAGGGCACAGTTTATAATATGCTAAGAAAACTTTAAAAATTAAAGTTACAAAATGAGTATTTTTAGCACATTTAGTAAGAGCTACTTGTTTTAGACTATCATTTCATTTTTGAAGACCAAATTATATTTGACCATAATTAAAGAACATACAACTTTAAAATAACATTAAAAAACCATGGTTACAACAGAACTATGTCCCATGAAATGAAAAAAGGACAGTCACATACACGTGCTGAATGGCACCGTGGTGTTTCAAAGCCATTCATGGGCCAGGCTTCCAATCCATGTGTCGGGGTATCGATCTGAAACACATCTCTACTCAGTGTGCTGCCGGAAGGAGGTGAAATCCATGTGAAATCCGTCCTGATCATACGACTGCCTGACAACCATTCAATGCTCATCACTGAACAAGTATTTTTATTTGATTATCCTGATACCATAATAGCGGAGACACATCCGGAAATGGAGATGGGGCCGACCAACTATTCCACTGCAGAGAGATGCTCGACTTAAAAAAAAAGCTGAAACAAAGGAAACAACTGGAAATGGCTGAATCACCGTACCTTAGACACAACCATAAATCTTCGTTTTGCTATATACTGTTTGGTACTTTCTGATTCAGTAGTTGGGGTAAAAAAAAGTTTCGTATTCAAACATATCTACATAATATCAATATAAAATGTGTGAATATATACATTTAATACACACACACACACACACACACACTCACATCCCCCTTTCTCACGAATGACTCAGTGAATCATCTTTGAGACCAGCTTAGATGCTCTAAGGCTGCAACGTATGGCTACAGAGGTCAAACACAAGCACCCACTCACGCTGGATCAAACTGTTCCTCCTCATGATTTCTGACAAGTAGTAATACCGCTTATACAACAACTGTTTCTCAATAACTTAGAATTCAGAGTATAAAACCAGTGTCAGGAACATTGAACTCTCTCACTGGGTGAAGAACATTTCTCTTTTCATTCTATTTCCACTGATGGTAAGAGAGTGCATCGAACTAGATCACACTGAACTGTACAAATGATCTTTACTCTTAATCTAAACAAACATGTGTTAAAACATTCTGAAATGCTGCATCCTTTGATTTCTTCATTTTTTCAATTGCCCGATGCAGGTCCTGTTGTTGCACGGGCCGGATTTCATCCTCATCATGGCTAAAATGCAAACAAAACCCACCAGATGGTCAAATGACTTTGGGATACCCCTCTCTCAAATATGCTACCCAGATTAAAACATGACATCTCTTTCCCACAGAAGACCCCCAAAGATAGCCACAGTTAATCGCTTCATGTGAATTCCTCTAGGAATTCTCGATGCAGATCCAAGTCTGGGGAGATTTTTAAGCAGCATTGACTACTGGGAGGCAGGAGGCCAAAATGGCTGGTCATAAATACACATTCGAGATGTAGGAATGAAAAGCAAACACTGCACACTAAGAATCACGGGCAGAGTATTAGCATAATGGGAAAATGTTAGCTATAGGTGTGCGGTTGATCTAAATGGGAACGGAATTCCAATCAAGGAATCACAAGTAGCATTCATGGCCATACATTCATGTATATATTCAGCATGTGACAAACAAAACAGAATGCTTTGCTATTAACAAAAACCAACCACTCTAAGTCCTCCCCTCTTTAATAATAATATATAATGTCTCCTCATAATTTACAACACTTTGGAAAATACACTTGGGGAAAAAATTATAAGCCAAGTCTATGAGCCAGATTTTTCATACTGAAATATAAAATTTTCAAAGGCTTTGAGGACAGCAGAAAAAGAGTAATGTAATTTATTCACACAAAATGTATTCATAGGTTGGGTTTTTTTGCCTCTCTCCTCATTATCTTATACACAAGAATAAAAACCTGTGGAAAGCAGACTCTTGGCTACAGTCAAAGGTCAAAAGTTAGAGTCAGGGGAGCTGGATAATCTGGCAACAAGTAAATGAAGTGAGCGTCTCTCTGATGGGGCCCCAGGGAGCACTAAAGGCAGGTGCAGAACTAGGGCACACCCAGCTAACCTTTCTACGCCAAGGGACACACCTGCTATGGCAATGAGCTGTGATGAAAAACACAGCACAAGAGGCAAATCCAGGTCCTGTGGAGTGAAAGCCTCAGCGGGGGAGGAGAGAGGGGGCCTGAGAAACAAAAGGGCAAGAGGTGGAGAACTCATTCACCACAGGCCCAGGAAGTACACCGGTCTGCTAAGAGTTACAGCAACCCGTCAGAAGGTCAGTGTTTTGAGGAGACGCAGAGCTACACTGGCCCAGGGCAAGGGGCCTTTTCCGAAGTGGTTTATCAGGGCTGACTTACTCCGGTTCTCTAGTGTCTCTGCTGAAACACATGAGTATGAATTGGTTTCTCAAACTCCTGCTTTGAAGTTGGCTGCAGTGACAACAGTTTCTTTGCTTAGTAAACATGTCACTGTCAACAAGCTAAAGTCTAACCCCCAGCCAGGGCCCTTACCCCCATTTATCACCCCCATTTACATGTGAAATTCCTGCAAGACAACAGGAAATGGGATTAGGAAGTTAAGATGCAAAACAAGCCAGGAGTGTTGGAGAACCCGCTCTCCCAGCAGAGGTTGCGAGCCTAAGCTCCTGTGGGCCTTCTGTGACCCAGTCTGTGGATGTGTGGTAGAAATCCAGCTTTTGTTTCTTTCTCTGCATTCCAGAGCCTCCCCACGACCCACGTCCCCAATTCATTTTCAGAACTTCCCTTTAGAAAAAAAAGGCAATTAATAAAGTTCATTCAAGTCCACCTTTGATTCCATAAGCAGGGCTGGTATTGTAAAGAAACATGAACCAACCTAAAAGCTCTACAAGGGTTTGACAAATCTGAGAGATCGTACCTTTCTTCGGATGCAGAATTCACATACTCCCTGACACAGAGGAGTGCCGCGTCCCTGCACATCTCCTTCAGGTCACTGCCGGAAAAGCCATCTGTTTCCTGGGCAACTTCGAGCAGATCCACGTGCCTGTCCACCTTCAACAGGGAAAAAGGCATATAAAAAATGCTGCAGAGCATCTCTCCAAACATGCTTCTTGAAGAACACATATTGGAATAGCAGGGAAGGAGAATCATCAGTTTCTAGTCTTTACCTTAACCATAAAAGCTGGAATTTTGAAATCTAATTTTCGTTAACTGTCACTATGACTGTAATAGCAAAATAAAGGCTTCCTAGACCATACCATGCAGTGCCTAGGAAGAACAGACATGCAAACACCGTCAGACTGATTATGATCGGACTTGTCTATTCTCTTCCTCTCTGTCTGAGAAGACTTCTTACATGTGTACCTCAGCAGTCAGACACAAACAGGAATCTAATTTCTCTACTGCTTGTAATATTTGTGAAAAAGTACATGCATTACGCATCTGTCCTTCCACACTCATGGGACTGATGGACACTGCCGACTTCAGGACAAGCAATGACAGAGACCGCAGGAGATGGGAAGCAAAGTATGTGAAGAGCACCTGTTAAATCTGGGTGGTAGATATAAGGTTATTTGTGTATACACTTAAAATTTTTTATGAATTAAAAAACTACTTAAAAAACACCTTCCAAATTATACACTGAGATGTTAAAAATTAGTCTTCGTCCCTTAAACAATCAACACCTCCACCCCATCTCTTGACCACTCCTTTGTTGGACTGCACTATGTTGTAACCATTCACAAGTCTTGTGCATGACACAGTGATAAAGTCACAAAGATGAACAAATCAAGTATGAGAAAGGACTGAAAAGGAGAAGATTCCAGTCACTGGGGGAGCAAGATGAACAGAGATAGCGCACCATAATGGTTAAGAGAAAGGCTCCATCACTCCTTTGCTATGTGAGCCTGGGCAATTTATTCTATAACTTCTCTGGGTTTCAGTTTCCCCAACCGTAAAAGAGCATTATTATGTATGTGCTCCTTAGATGGACGGAGGATTAAGTAAAACAAGGTCTATCTCACCACTATGCTAGGCACATGGCAAATACTCTGAAAGTAACCCTTTTTACAAGATAATAGCTATCAGACAAACCATGAAGTCATGAAAACTGTTTTCACTAGGCAACCAGGAAGGCAGCTCCCAAGTTAAACAAGGTTTTGAGTCCCGGGAGCAACACTGGCATTAATCAACGGACTCCTAAGATAGCCCGGAGCACAGCACCCGCTTGTGTGCGGTTACTGCGTCTACCGTGGAGGGCGCACACGCAGGGCACTCTCAGCACCTCACATGCTTCACTTAAATTCTCAAAACGATTCTTGGAGACTGTTGGCATTACCTCTGCTTTCCCAGTGAGAAAAATAAGGGCGTAGAGACACTCAACAGTATCTGCCCAAGGTCACCCAGCAGGGAGGGGTCAAGCCAGAATGTGGGGGGCCCTGGGGTCTGTCTCCAAAGCCCAAGCCTGTGAACTACTCCTGCTGTGTTATGGAAAAGGTCTAAACTCAGATTTGTTTGTAGAAGGAAAACTCTGATCTCCTCACTACAGAGACAGGATACCTGTCTAAGGTATCCATTTTATTACTTCTAATTCTTTTTATACTTTAAACTTAAAGCCAAAATCACTACCCTGTTTTATTATTTATTTATTTATTTATTTTTTAAAAGATTTATTTATTTATTTATTTGACAGAGACAGAGACAGCGAGAGCAGGAACACAAG